ATAACAATCAAAGTAGTTAATAGAAGTATATACACTGTAAAGCTCGATTAATCTCTTAATTTATAACAAAACAATTGTCTAATTGACTAAATTTTTTTCAGGGTCTGTTATCCGATTCAAATCTCAATACCGATAAGATCTTACCCGTTCGCATAAAGGCACAACTTTTCCATGAACTGATCGAAAATATAAAATTAATACATGATATTGGAAAGCTTCAGGAGCACGAAAAATTTGAAGAATTTGATGATATTGACAGCGATGTTGATCTGGTGAAACAGTGGTACATCAAGAAGATACTTTGTACATATTGAAAGATTACAGGTACATAATATATTAATAAATTCTCATTGAACAGAGACAATATTTTGCTAATAATTTGTTTATGTATATTTGACTAATTTAGTTGTACTTCTGTTTACAATTACTCATTTTATCTCATTTCCAGCAATGTTTCCTACGAAGAATGGCATCGAACGAAATCAAATTTAATTCGAGCCTTGAAGAACACCATCGGTATGAACTGCTGGATTTTGCAAAAAATCGAAGATTTAAACAAAAGTGATAAATTAACAAGTTCTAGTGATAATTTTAGTAGTTTTAACTGTAAGTTTAGTAATTTATTGAAAAAACAAGTGCACGTTTTTGAAAGACATTAAGATGTTGTTGAGATCGACGATGGAAGTTCTTTGCCTCAAATACGTTAGGTAAGTCTAAATATTCTTCAATTTTTTATATAATCAGAAGTTTGGGGATTTTTCACGTTTTAACACTTTAGCACTCATGAGAAAATGTCTTTGTGTATCTATTCTCCGATTTCAACATTCATTGACGATTTCACAAATACATTTAAATCGGGTTAATAGATTTATATTTTACTTTGAAACAATCTATAGGAGTATTGTTCAAAATCGTACCTACACTTGTGTTTAAATAATTGAGAAATTTGCAAATACAACATATAAGAAATATAAAATCAACTTACTATAGTATTTTTATGCAATTTTTTATTCCATAATACCAAATAAAACAAAATATTGTATTTTGTTAAAATAAGTTATTATATAAAACTGTTAAACAGTGCGGATGTCTAAGAAAATAATTTAATTTTTAATTAACAGTAGAGTCTAAAAATTTTCCTTATGTTGAATAGAATTTTTTTATAAACATTAAGAGAAATTTAAAATAATTAGCATACAAAAACTTCGGCTTTGCTTGATTTAGTTTCAATTAATAGAAGACTAAAGAAATTTTGTGCGAGAGAATTTATTAAAAATTTACGATAATTTATATTGTAAATTTTTTGTATTGTCTATGTTTGATAAAACTACTAAGAATACTATAATAAATCAATTGTTTTCTGTAATATTTTAAAAAAGCTAGTAAAAAATGATAAGTATTTTACGTTTCACATTTTATTGAATATCAGTCACTCTTATTGTATTTTATGTATAACAAACTAAAACTAATGCAGTTATCTACTGGTTGTAAGTGGCATGTCTTCTGGGAATTTGCATGATATGTGTGATTATAATAATAATTAATAATCGATCTAATAGATAATATTGATTCAATTTATATACGATCTACCAGTCTACTCTCTACTTACCTAATTGTTTACCTGTCCACCTCTCTACATTTATTCCAGCCTATCTGTCTATTGTTTACCTGTCTATCTATTCATCTGTTTACCTGTCCATCTGTTTACCTGCCTACATGTCCACTTGTTCTCCACATCACCTGTATATCATATTCAGTCTACCAGTCTGTCTACATGCCTCCTCTTCTATATTTTTCACCTGATAACCTGGTTAGCTCTCTACCTGTCTAACAATAAAGACTTCCAACTGTTTGCCTGTTTACTTTTTCTTCTTTCCTACTTCTTGTCTACTCGTTTTTCTGCCCTGTCTATAATAATCCAGATTAATGATTTGTGAATCTTATTTGACCAACAATTCGAAATAAAGGGACCAAATAAAAACTACATTTGGGAAAGGATGTTTAGAAAGTAATTAAAAGTTGAGCAAAGCCTATCAAAATGATAATTACTCTTCTAGAACGCAGTGCATTTATTAAGAAATTCATCATCTATTTAACTGTTTGATGTCTATTCCTTAACCTTTTCTAGTAGATAATTCAGTATTTGGCCATTTTCTTATGAAATTATATTAGATACATTCTAATTGTGATGTCAATATAAATGAGCAATGCTCCGAACATTTGGCTTTACATCATATTGAGATCTATAATTTTAAGTGACTATCAGATATCTCTAGGCTTGATATCAAGCAAAATGGATTTCGAACCCGGAACCAGTGGTGCTAAACCCCACTATGGCCTACTGAGTGTGGTGCATATTCAACTCCAAATTGACCAACGATTCTGGCTCAAGCGTAACTTCAACAAATCTTGAACAATTTAAATTAAAATATAACTGCAAAAATTGAGTTATGTTGCAAATACTGCCTGTTAATTTAAACTAACCAACTTTAAATTATATCATGCGAATAAAATTAAACTTTGTTTATAATTAAGCTGTGCAATATAACAAGTTTCAGTACTTGCTTTTCGTACTTCTTCATTTTTAGAAAAATGATTTCTTAAAAATTTTTTTAAGTTTTGTTGTATTTTACTCCCTTAGGGCAAGTTATAGTAATCGCAAAAAATTTTTTAAATCTTTACGTCTTCTAAGAAAAGGAAGGAAATGCCTTTGATGCATTCTAGACTGGTCTTTTTGTCTGGTTATGCTGGCTCAGTACCGCCCTGGTATAATACCGACTAAAACCTCCGCTTTGCCGTTGCCTCTGGTCCCCACGAAAACCGCCGTTAGGCAATATTTCGTGGAGGGAGGATCTAGAATGTTATCATTCTTACCTTGTGTTGTATTTGTACTCATCTTTCAATGGGCAAAGTCCCCAATCGCCTTTTCTTAGAATGCAGATCAATTAGCACATCTGGATGTATGTGTGTGTATGTATGTATGTGTGCGTGTTGTATCACTCCGATACAACTCCTTCCTCGGAGTGAATCCGAGTGGAGTTGTCTCACAGGATTTGTCATATCCGACTTCCTAAAACTGATACTAAATCTGTTAACATGTGCAATATTTGCTTGAGATTTTTTACTAATACAAGGTTTAGGTCGAAAGAAGTGGTGTTTTTTATCGTCTCACAGCCAGTTTTAGGACTTTTCAGCTATATAATGTCTCAAATTAATACTATTTGTATTCTATATTCTGTATACGATAATGTTTGTCAGTAATGAACTCTTTCAATGTATACAACAAGCTAAAAAATATTAGTATTATATTAAAAACTTTTGCACAATATGATTTGATAATTGCGTAAAATGAGAGTATACTAATCAAACTACCTGATGTATAATAATTCTTGAAAAAGAAATAATAACAGAATGTGAAGTATTATTATTTGTGAAAAATATATACACAAAGATTTGTTCTTATTACATATATAAGGTTCACTGCATATTTTATATGAAAATAAACATATTCAAAGATTACTATATTTTCCTTCAAAAATATTACAAAATTGATTTTTATTCCCAAGTTTTTTGTCAATTTGAGATTGTATGCATATTGAAATGCATAAAATAGTAATTATTTTAATAAAATGAACAAAAATATTTGAACGATTTGTAAACTATTTCAAAGTCTTAATAAATCCTTAGATATGTTAACAACACACATATGTGTCAAGTATTATGTTTCAAAGTTATCGGAGTTGTGGAGTTGTTAAGTGGATATAACTCCTCTCTGAAGCGGAGTCTAATCCTAACCGATTTGGCTTCGGATATGATAAGCCCATTTCTAGTATGTATACATGTGTGTGTGTGTTTTTTCGACGATTTAGGGAACGCGGTTTAACCGATTTGAATAATTCGAAAAACATTTGATTCGTATTGATAAGGAGACTTGCTGATTAGTGTTTAGAAAGATGGCGACAAGTTTTTGGTACGGAAAGTACCAGCAATTTGCCTTTAGGCATGATGCCATGCACCACTAGTTTTTATAATATTTGACGAGTTTTATATGTATTATTATAAACAACGGTGTGAACCGAACCCGAAACGGAACAAAAACCGGAACGAACCGGCTTGTTATACCGAACCATGAACCGGAATCCAGAACGCTTTTTTCTGCTGAGCTAGAACTCGAACCGAACCGAGACAAATACAGAACCGGTTTTTTTAAATTATAGCGGTTTGATAAAAGAAGTTAGCAAAACACTGAAAATAGCGCTCCTGCGTCTCGAAGTTTGGTTACAAAACATATTTAAATCCTGTGTCGACAAAAAACGAAATTATTTTCCGAGCCAAATGTATACAAATACGTCTCGTGCTAATTAATTTTCGGTGAGAATCCTTGTTCGTGTTCATCTCACTTAGACAGGGTGTCCTTTATATATTTTGTAGACTCATCAATATTCATAATGTAGCCGGTCGAAGCTGAACATTAGATACATCAATCAGTATGTCAAGTGGAGCCCCCAGTGCCCCATTCACGTGTAAATAATGTTCGATAATGCTCAAATTGAATTTCGTTCCTCGTGAACGAAGAAGAGGGTTGTAATGTAATGAAAAAATACTCTTTAATCAATAAAAAGTAAATGGTACGAAAAGTTTTTCACGTAAAAAAGTTTATTTAAATGCGAGTCTCGTATTTGGGTCACTAATTCAATCAATTGTGAATCTCGGAGCTGGATTTTGGCTGCGTCATTCTCTTTTAATCAAATAGGATTTATAGTATAATGTAGTATAAATAGAGCTATAATTATGAATGTTAGACGAAAGCAATTAGATATAAAATAATTAACAAATGCTCTTAATTAATTAGGTTTCTGGAGGAAAAGTTTTCGCCAGAAAGTCTTATTTGCTAATTTTGTTTTGTTAGTAACAATTGGAATAAATATGTATGTTAGCCAAAATTTCCTCTTTTGACCGCGTTTTCCTAAAAATGACCGTTTTCAGAAATTTAAGTCATCGACAATCGTTTGAGCCGTTTCTTTATTATTGATTAATCTCAGAAACGTCTGTCTGCGTTTTTGCCAAAAATTTTCCTTTTGTCGATCTTTCCTCAAAAACGGCTGCACCGATTACAAAAATTTAAAAGGCATTTGATGAAACTCGTTAAAAATTTGCGTTGATCGCTTTTGCGTGGCAATCGTCTGAGCCGTTTCTTTATAATTAGTCTCAAAAACGTCTGTCTACATTTTTGCCAAAGTTTCCCTTACCGTCAAAGTTTTCTCAAAAACGGCTGCACCGATATTAAAAGTTTAAAAGCCATTTGATAAAACTCGTTGAGAACTCGCGTTAATTACTTTTGCGCAACAATGGGCTGAGTTTTTTCTTTATAATTAGACTTCTAATTGCCTAACTACATCTTTACCAAACTTTTACTATTTGTCTATATTTTTTCAAAAATTGCTACACCGATTTTCAAAATTTAAAAGCCATTTGATGAAACTAGTTGAGAATTAGCTCTATTACTTTTGCGCGGCAATCGGATGAGCCGTTTCTTTATAATTAGTCTGAAAAACGCCTGTTTACGTTTTTTCCAAAAAATCTTGAACCGATTTTGAAAGATTAGCTGGACCGTTTCTTTGTATTAAATGTTGAGTTGTTTTTTGTCAATTATAATGAAATTAAAAAAAGATCATTTTTTATCATTCTAGAACATTAAATGCTTCAATGTGATTTCATTATAAAAACTCATTCAAGTTTGGATTAATGAGCGAACTTCTTAGAACATACGCTGGGCATATGTTATTATTTTTTTGTGAAATGCGGAAATTTCATTTACAACATTAATAGTTCAACAAATTAACTTTGTAATTACAATTTTAAAAGTTGCTCAATCTCAATTCATATCAAAACTTTTATTTTCACACATCGGGTTGTTCGTGGAACATGCCTTAAGGCAAAATATAACCAGATTCATTCTACAGTTGTATTTAGAGTATTTTTTAATTTTGACATCTTGTCTTACATTTATAGTTTTTATCTTATTCAAGTAATATAAAAATATAGCTAAAATTTTCAGATAAATCTCATAAATTAATTATTTACAAAACATAATTAATTTCCAAATACCTGAAATATAATTTGGACTCATAAAATAAATCCATCACGAAGAAAGCTCTCACATAAACACATAAATGTTTATGAATGCTCATTTATGAGTATTATTACTTCTACAAATTACTCTTTTCCCGATTCAAATACTCTTTGTAAAGGACCAATAACAATTCGGAAACTTTTTTCCATCTCATTATTAAACCACCTTTCTATTTTGCAAGATACTTTTGCGGCAATGGGAACTAATACAAACAATTTCTCCCGTAAGAATAAGAAGTTATCAAACATTTTTTTCTTGTTTATTAGATTTGATATTAATATAGGTATTTGTCATGATGATATTCTAGAAAGTTTATACATCTCTTTGGAATTATATGCATAAAAGTTAGACTAAACTTCGGAAAGCATTTGGTGGAATAATTTCAGCATCCCCATGAGACTGGTAATGGGATAATTAGAAGAGTGGGAAATATGATCTATAGAAAGATGAGATTCTTATGGTTTTCATTCTTGATGATGCATCCAGATATTACTTCAATAATTGACTTATAATCATCTTCTAGTAATTGGTAATACCATGTACTGATTATGTTAAACACCTAGGTATGCATCTAAATTGCAGACTAACATGGAAACACCACATCATAACAAAAATCAAAACTATCAAATCCAGAGTTAAGGAACTTGTCTTGGTCTTTTCGGACTTAATCCAATATTAGCACTCGAAAACAAAATCTTGATTTATAAAACAATAAGAATTCCAATCTGGTCATATGGTATAGAGATTTGGGGCTGCTCTACCAAATCTAATATGGCATTGGTGTAGCGGACCAAATAAAAACTACTTAGAATGATGACAGATGCACCTTGGTACGTGAGCAATAAAACTCTTCATGATGATCTGATTGTGCTATATATTGAAGACTTTTTAAAAAAAGATCCAAAAATCATCATCACAAATTAGAAAATTACCACAATTCACTCGTTCCTCTGCTGTTCTATACACTAGAAGTAAGAAGATTAAGAAAATTATGGCCAATTATATTTGATCCAGTAAAATTGCATCTAATAGTAAATACCCACTGGGGTAACTACTATCTCTAATTAGATTTAATTAATGTCAATCAAAATAACTCATGGAATGCAACTAATGCTCATGGCATCGTGCCTTAAGGAAAATTGCTGGAACTTCTCGTACCAAAAATATTTTTTTAATGAAGATTTAATTCTAAAGATTCAAAAAAGTATTTGTTTTAGACTTTGAAAATATTAGATTTTTGAGAATTGAAATTTTTGTACAATTTTGACCTCTGTGAAAAATGTGATTTTTTTTATATTTTGAAATATTTTAGAAGTGTTTTTAGAATATCGATGCGTTAGCGCTACCTAGAAACGAAATAGCAAAGCGCGTAAGCGCTGCGTCGCAGTCTAACGGTTAAATTTTGGTACGGAACCCATAGAAATGTGAACAAAACTTGCTCTTATTATTAAATTTAGCAGTACATCAATTTACCAGTGTAGCAACTCACCTTTATATCAATTTACCAGTCTACCAATTTGCTTATCAACCTGTTTATCAATATACTATTTTACCTGTCAACCAATATACCTGTTTACCACTTTACCTGCCATCTAGTTCTATAACTCTACCAACTAACCTGTTTACCGGTTTACCTGTCATCCTGTTCTACATGTCTACCAATTATTCTGCCTACATATAAAATATCTGAAAATTTGATGTGTAAATGTCTAATGATCATTTTTGACCGCCAAATGACATTATTTTAAATTTTTCATTGAATCTCGAAAATCGCAAGATCTGCCTTCTCGAAAATTTTACCAGTTCTTCATTTCGACAGTGCAAATAAAATGTTTGATCATTCAAATCGGACGCTCTGCTCTCTCAAAAAGTAAAAAACTATTTTTCGCACTTTTTGCTACGTGTTTTTGAAACGGTTGGACCTGCCTTTACCAAAAACTAATCAGTACGTCTCTTTATTAATAAGAATCGAATGTTTTTTTAATTATTCAAATCGGTTGATCCGTGTTCCTGAAATCGTCCACAAAAATTTGTAACTGAACATACATCTTTTTTTGAGGTACGCCAAAGTGTTCAGAAACATCTGAAACGTAAAGGTATATAAAAAAAGAATATTTTTTTAATTTTTTGCGATTACTATAACTTACCCTACGAAAAGTTAAAAATTTTTAAAAAATCTTCTAGTAATTATGAATCAAATTTTTTACTATTTATCAAAAACAAATATGTTTTAGTCTGTCTAATTTTCTTTGGAGAATGTTTTTTTAAATCCGTTTCTGGAACATCGATAAATTGTTGTACGTACGCTCTCAATTCAATTTTATTTCTTTAAATGATAAATCTCAAGAGTTCAAGACTAATTTTCTAAAGCATTTGATCGAACCTTTACGAAATGGCATTCCAAATAAATGTTTTCATGACGAGAAATTTCTACATTTGAATAGCATCGTGACTGCGGAGGCATTTAAGAAATAGATTCTTAAATTATATGCTTTGATGGAAAATACACATTTGTCTTATATATTTAACTGAAATTAAATCTTGTTTTTAAGACAGTAGTGTTTTGAATCATTTATTTTATCAATCTATTTTTATATTTATCGCAAATTATTTTTTTTTCAGATATTTCCGAAGAAGCTCCTGAACGAATGCTGACCGTATTTGTAGACTCGGATAATACTCATCTTAAGGAATCTCAAACTCGCTCATATATTACTCAAATAGAACGAGAAAATTATATTGAATTAAAAAATAAACTAGTCAAAAGATTACCTACCGATAATGTTATGTTGTTTAGGTAAGTAATTCAATATTATAATTATTACTTTATAATTGGATTAGCCTACAAGTGATAATATTTAGCCAAAAACCTCTTGTTTTAGTTTTTCAACTCTATTCAAATTTATTTAGAATTGCATACTCATGCATAGTTATTAGAGTAGTTTTTTTGCTCTAATCAATGTCGAATAAAATCATATTTTATTTTGAAATTATTATTTATTACATGTTAATTTTCAATTTTATAGCCAAGAAGATGATCTGGATACGTACCAATTCAAATCGACAATTATTGATAGATTGAAAAAGTCAATTGATAAATCTATTGGTGATAATCCATTGGAAAAAGGAAAAATGAAAACTCTTCCTGTAAGCATCTTTAAATTATAAAACCAATTCCTGTCCGAAATAAACTTTAAATTGAATTATTGGATTAATTTATTTTTTGCTGAGACATTATTAAATTTTTAATTTAATTTCTCAGGAAATTTTGCAAGAACATACTAGTCATCTAACAATATTAAGGGAACACATGCTGCTGTACCAGCTGGTTGATAGAAAATATTTAGAATTCATTAGAAAAAGGATAACTTTCATACATTCGAAAGCAGAAAGTTCCAGCAGGAAAGATCCCAGCGCCAAGAAAGATAGTTTAAGAAACGAACCAATATTTATCAAAGGATCTCAAGGTGTCGGTAAAACGACTTTGCTGTATGATGCTTATACGAGTTGTACACAATGGTAAGATAATTGTAATAAACTTTGTGCATATATTTTTAAAAGGTGTTTTAAATTTATTATTTTTTGTTTAGGTTTACATGTCCAGTAACAAGGATAGCTCGAACAGCCCGTGCTACTCCAAGATCCTGCAGAGTTTTAGAATTCTTCCGTGTTTTGTGCCAACAATTGTCATTTGTTCTTGCTTTACCTCAGGGACATCTTCCGAAAGATGCAGGATTTGATCCTCGATATGTCAGTAAATGGTTTAAGGACATCATAAGGTGTTGTGGTGAACGAGATGAGGTAAGAGGACGGTACATAATAGTAGACATAGATAGTAGAGTAGTCTGAGATTTGAGTATAGGAAATAATTATTTTGGATTGGTTGGAAAGTACTTTTGCTCAAAGACTTACCAAGCTATCCAAGTTGTGATAGTCAGATGGATTTACTACATAAATTAATTGCACATCAATGTTATTTGACGATTTATTGCATCAATAATTTTTATCCTGCAGGATGCATCATCATACTTTGTCGCGTTTTAAAGGCATGAAAGAGTTTTTATTCAAATGTTACAATAGTTCTAAAGATAGATATTGGATGAAACACGTTTATTACTTTTTGAATTTTGTTTTATATTTCAGGTCTTTATAATCTTCATAGATGATCTGCACAAATTGTTGGGAATGAATCACCATGAAATGAACATGTATATGCCTGCCATTTATCCACGAAACGTTTTTGTCATCTTCACTGTAGCTACTAACGATGAACCTGGTTTTAACAAAGTTGGTTCAGTATTGAACCCATCTCAAAGTGAACAGAAATTAATGAAGAGTGACTCATTAAAAACTGATGATAAAACTAATTCTCCTTTTTCTACCAATTCCAACGACCAAGGCATGAAGATCTCATCCAGTGAACAAAATTTACGCGAACAAAATGCACCATTAAATCGCGAGCAACCTTCACAACAAAGTATAAGAAAACGTTTGCATAAACAAATGAGTGAACAAGAAGTTATATTAAGTGACCAGCAACATGGATTGAATAAAAGTTCAAGTGAGCATAATATAAATGAACAGTTATTGATCAGTAAACGCGAACCAGGAGCTGGTGATCATCAGCATAGCAATATTTACAAAAGCCTGCAGAGTGTCAACAACTGCATAGAGTTAACTCATAGTGTGGCTATCAGAAGATGCGAAAATTGTTTGGCTGAATATATGCATAAAACTTTGGTAGATGAAGAACAAGAAAATCTGAAAAATTCAGGTGGTTCTGAAAAGAGTGGTACCACAGAGGAAAAGAACGATAAAGTCAATGATAATGGTAATTCTCATCAAAAAGTATTTGAATACTGTGGAAACTTCCTAGCAAAACGAAATTCTACTGATCTTTTCAAGAAAATTGTGAAGATATCACTAGTTATTTGAAGCATTACTATCAACCTAAATCCCACCAGGACCACACGACTTCATTATGCTGCACTTTGAAACACAATTCAGTTGATGATCATCCCAACAAGGAAGATCCAGATAATCATTTTAAATCCCAACAAATAACGATCAAAAATACTACGACATTTTCGCAGCATTTAGAAAACCGGTTAAACAAACTTCAAGATATGTTCGGAATGGAACCGGTTGCACAATTTTGTCGATATATTTGTTGCACAGAATTCGGTTTAACAGAGAGCGAATGTCTGGAGCTCCTGGTGCCGATTGAGAAAGATGATTCAATTCATGATGAGCCGATTGGATGCCGATTTGAAGAAAAAGGAGAGTTTAATTTCAGGACTTTTCGTGCTGTTAAGGAAGCTTTTGGTAAGTTTATACTAAGTAATACAATATTGTTTCAAATAATTTACATTAATACGAGTATCTTGAACAGGCGAATTGATTTTGGACAAATACTTGACTGGTAAAATTGTACTCCAATGGCGACATCAGCAGATGGGCGTGATAGTAAGACGAAAATTTTTAACAAGGGATGTTCAGAAACAAACTCATATTCAGGTGGTTAAATGGATAAATTACATATATAATATCATATATTCAATAAGCAATGTTTAAAACTATGTCGTAGGTCGCCAATTTATTTTTGAATGAAGATGAACCAGAAGCTTTAGATGAGGCAGATGATAGTTCTCAAGGTACGACTAAGTTCTAATTAAATTACTCTAACTCTCTGCACTTAATATAAGTTGTATGAATGAAAGGTTTTCAAATTAAAAAATGAATGAACAATGAATACAAAAAATGTAAAATAAAAAATGTTAAGGACACGTATTGATAAGTTTAGCGCGACAATTTTGCCAAACCGATTTCATATAATTAGCACATAGGAGTAAAAAATTTTGTCTGCGTTTTTGCCAAACTGTACCGATTTTGAAGATTCAGAAACCATTTGAAAAATTTGAGTTAGTAATCATGCTGATTAATTTTTGGTAATGATCGGCAGAGTCCTATCTGCTCCATACGCGATCCTACGATTACTAGTTTTTTTTTGCTTTAATATTAATTAAAATTAATTAGTAAATGAACCGCGGAAATAGCAGATTTTTTTTCATTATATAATTAATTGTGATATGAGTAGACTTTATGTTTAATCTTTTTTGTTCAGATAATCCGGCAACCACGACAACTTACAATCTCCGACATGTGGAGGAATATTGGACTCAACTTCTTCGAGCTGGTTCACTGGATCGCCTGAAGAAAACTTGTTGTTGTAACTTCGATTTTCTTTTAGCATCGGTAAGTTGTTATATCAGTTTTAATTTGTAGTATTTATCATTTATGTAAGTTACAAACTAAATTTGAAATTGATATTTGTTAGGTTCAAATGGTGTCTATCAGTTACTTACGGTGTTTGTTGGAAGAAATTCGAGATTTTATTTTAGATCGGGATATCGAAATCGTGTATTACATTATTCAAAAATCTTCTGATACATTAACAAGAGATCCAACACAGTTGGCAGCTCAGGTAAATAATTTATTCACGTAATAACAAATGTACTTAAATTTATTTCTTTGAATTATATATAATAATGATTTAAATCTAATGTATTCCAGATGATAAGTTGGCTGAAACGTATCACAGACATTGAAGATCCACTTATTGCTGCATCCAAGGATATTCTAGGATTACCTTCATCGGCAGTTTCTAATAATCAGTTGAATTCTCCAAATACTCCAAAAGATGTTTCCAAAGGGTCAGAAGGCGACGCAAAGAACAATGTTCTGAATCAGTTGATGACGTCTTCGATGGCTTGGAGTGATGGTTTTACATCGCCTCTGCTCGTCCCTTTGAACTCTTGGTGAGAATTATTTTCAAAATTATATAAAAGGATACTTCTTGAAAAGTTACAATTGCGTACAATTTGTACCCCATGAAACTCCTTAATGAAAATGAGTTTTACGGGTTGCAACTTTAGCATTATTCCAGATCTTCAAAAAATGTTAAAGAAGATGATAATTTGAACTATAACTTATGTATGTTTTTACGTCAACTCGTCCTAGGTTCATATATAATTATTGTGGCATTTCGTAGCTCGATTTCCGATTTTTTTTTTTCAAATAAGTAATTGTTAGACAATTAATGATAGTTTTGTTGAAAATCTTACTAGGGTCTTGGTAATTTATGTTTCTGGTTATTTCGAATTTCATTCGCTATACTATATTTTACTAACCTTATAAAATCCTTGCAATGATATCTATTATAGCATTGCGTTTTGTATTTTATAATTGCTGAAGTTTAAAATTATTACTAAATTTGTTTTATTAATTTCAGGTTGCCTCCGCCGATTTCTGAACATATAAAACATATGACTGTCCGCCAAAGTGTGAATCTGCTGCGAATTACTCCTGGTTCTCAACACTTGGTCGTGGCCTGCGCCAATAAATCTCACCTGGAATTATATCACATAATGAGCAACAGACTGGTTCATGTTTTTACAGGTAAATCATATATGGTTAAATAATTCCAATTCATTATTTTAATTGCCGAAAATTATCGGTGCAGCGGGTTAATTATTTATATATCATATTTATATTTACAAGGAAACATACCTGACTATCATGAACATTTTTTTTAATATGAATTTATTTGGCTTTATAAATTAGATATTTACATGATTTACATAATTGCAATTCATAGGTTAAATAATGAATAGTAATGTTTTATATTTATTTATTATACGTGGATATTAATTAATTTTTAAATTTGAAATCGTTAATTTTACATTAGTTGTTGAATGCTTCAACAGCATTTTTTCTTAAGCTTAAGAAATTATAGGACTTGCTTGTCTCTCTTTATATTAAATAGAGAATTTTTCATAAACTATTATGTAGAATAAATTATGAAACTTTTAATTAAATGATATAAACTAATTTTATATCTACCTATATTTACAAGGTTTATAAGAATGTTCTATTGCATTCAATTTTGTGAAAATTGACCAGTTTTCATGATCAAATAGTAAGTGATTTCAATATTCTGCACTTGCCATGTGTGCTTAATTATTTATCAAATTTATCAATATAATTGTTTGTGTTCATATTTTAAATATTGGTATAAAATTTATATTTTTAAGGTCACAGTGGTCCTGTAACTTGCATGGATATAACCAAGGGTTCTCAATATTTATTGACTGGTTCTGAAGATACAACTGTTATAATTTGGGATCTCAAAGAACTGAGATTGCGGTTTCGTATTTTGTAAGTAAATTAGTATTTTTTAACTCATTAAAGCATGTTATTACTAAAACTCGAACTATATAATAAGTGCAATAAATTGATTGGATATACAAGTGCAACGAAGAGTTTGTCATTCTTCACACGTTTTTTTTGTCTTTTATTTGCGTTTTAACATTCATATTGCCGTTTTTTTATAATTAAATATTTGAAAATTGGCATCGCTGCTGCATGATTTCAGGTTCAGTGAGCTTGAACTCGCGAACTCGTCTACACTGCGTTAACCCATTACGCCATGGAACATCCTCAAGAACAATTTAAAAAAAATATTTGAAATTAGAATCATACATATTAAGATATATCAAATTTTTTGGTCATTGGGGCACGTTAATTGTAATTCTTTTTCTATGAGAAACTTTGCTAAAAAAATTTAGGGTGAAAGTATATCTGATTGTTTTATAAAATGATATTTAAATATATGGAGAAAAAGCTTTATAGATAATTTCGTAGACTTCAAATTCACTTCCATGGTACGGTTTCTTCGGCAAAGTTTCTTGAAATGGATTTATTGGGCCAGAATCAAAACATAACTCATCGGTGAACTTGATTGTTATATTTATAGCAATTTTATTTCTATTTATACTATTATTAATGCCATTATTTCTATCCATATTTCAGTGAGCACATAGCGCCAATTTTAAGCGTTTGCTGCGCCTTCGATTCGGAAGTAATAAGTGCAGGCGACGACTCCAGTATTATTGTGACGTCACTTGTCGATGGAACCACCGTAAGTCCATTCTAACAATCTACAATTCGTTTAATCCAAAATTTTATAATAAACACGGTATAATTTAATTTTATAAATAGCATTAAAGTGTTAACCTGTAAATTAATCTAATATGAGTTATTTTATTAGTTGCGCACTTGGTCCACTCTATATTCTGATTTATTGTTACCCCCATTAAACTGAACTAAACCTATTAAAATTTAAGTATTAATAAAATCGATTTATGTTATATATTAATTTTATACGGCTTGTTGCTATAATAAAATTTATGGATTTTAATAACACGGTTATAGCTGCACTTTTGTTATTGTATATAAAATGAAATTTAATTTGTTATTGAAGTAATAAATTCTCAGTTATTAGGATTAGGAGTAGCATAAATTGTATCAGCTAGAAGTGTTTGTTGATATTAATACAATATTATATTCACGGTTGTTAAATGAATTGTATATTGTATTATGAAATTAAATTAAAGATTATACAAAAATATTATCTAGTCTTTAAAATGTTCTGCAATAAATGTTTTAACTAACTTTGGGGAATATTAAATGAGTATAGTTGTGATGCTCTTAATTTTTATGGTAAAGTATACTTTTAGATATGATAATTTGGTTTACTTAACACTTTAGGGGTTTAACAAATTGTTAAGCAATATTAGTGTGTCGAATTAGATAAATTTTATTATGTGTTGTGCGTTTTTAACTATCTAACGCCATTTTTAACTACTCTGCCTATAAATATATATGCATAAATGACTTTGCTATTTCTTGGTGCATTTTAAATTTTAAATTTGCTTTCTTAAAATTATTTTTGTGATTAGTAACTAATATAAAATATTTTATGCTAGGGTATTTAACTCTATAAATCATTCCTCGATTTCAATTCTATATGTTGGTTTATTTTCAGATTACCAAGATAGATCATCATAGAGGTCCTGTGACAGCACTGGTTGTGGATAAGGAGCAGGATATATTATTGTCATCTAGTCAGGACACGACAATATGCATCTGGGCTTTGACTGATTTTGAATTGCTCAATTGTATTAAAATGCAGGATAGCGTTTTATCACTGGACATCAGCGGAGATAATGTGAGTAGAAATTGGCAAAGATAAAATGATTAATTTTAGGAACGTGAGTGGAAAGGTCTGTAATTGTCTAAAATTAATAGAAGTAGAAGTTTGCACATAGAAATAAATTGATTGTAGTAATAATTGAACGTTGAATGCAAAATTAATTCCAATTTTATATACAAATTCAGTCACAAAAATGAAACAGCATTCATTGGAATGATAAATTTTATTTCATTTTTGTTTCGATTTATGAGAATTCTCATAAGTTTGTTATATTATTTCACTTCAAATCTTCAAATATTTGTATATTATTTCAACATCAGTTTCAGAACAATTTAATAATTAATAATTCAAAATGTTCGCCAGCCTCGGTCTAATGGTGGATTACCTACTAACATTCAACAATTTGTAGACAACCTTGGTTCCAAATGGCCAGATATGCCTGTGGTTAGGATTAATTATTTACGTGGGATGAGCCATATAGACCAATGTTGGTAAAACTATATAGGCTCTATCTAGAAATGTTCAATTTTTATACCCAGCCGATATCGGCTTCAAATTTGACCAATGTAGATTGTATATTGCTCTTAGATTCAGCCTACATTAATTACTACTACGTTTCTACTACGTATCTATTATTGCAATTATGAATAATAAATAATTCATGATGAACAATTTTATAAATTTCATTAGGTATTTTTGCTGGCACACTGTAAAGATAATGGTCTTTATGTGAGATCGTTGGTAACAGGAACAGAGCTGCATAAATTGGAGGATGCGCATTCAGAGGTACTTTATATAGTTATTATATTAAAAATAATTATTATAATAAAGATTAATATGATAATATTTATGCCCTATACCCAAGGGTAGATTCATAATATTTTATATGCTCGTATAAAACCATATAAAATAATTTATAATATAGTAACTGGAGTATAATCATAAATATTCATCCAATGGATAGTCAAGCTTATAGTCTAATAAAGTGTTTTGTGAAAAACGTCCGGTATGTTGGTGATCTTAGTTCAGCAATTTCTAAATTTAATTTTTAATCCAAAAATGTCTGCAAATTATAAATAGCTATAAATTTCAAATTATTAAATCATTTCTAAATCATAATTCAATTTCCAGATCCAATGCATCTCTATTGCCAATGACAACAGACGCGCCGTTGTCGGTTGCGCAGACGGATCAGTCCTGGTATATGAATTGCATTCTGGAAAATTGCTCAAAATGTACAGAAATAAAAAGAATTACTTCAAAAGTTATATTCACAAAAGCCATCAAGTCATTGATACAAGTATATATGTTGAGGATAGATTAAAAGACACTGCGTATTTGCATATGAAACTACATGATAATAAAGATCTCGATAGTAAGACATATACGAGCATATGCATATGCGAGAGCGATGATTTTTTAATTGTTGGAGGTAAGTTTTTATAATTATAGAAAGCACACTATTTAATAGTAAACTCCACACGACTTGGGTTTTAATAAGCCAATAATACAAGCAGATGATATTTAACTTTATGTACACTGTTGAATGTAGTATATGTATATCTAAATAAAGTTTGGATGATTTTTTCTTTCTAACTTCGTATTTCTTTTCAGTTGGAGATCAAGTCGAAGTATATTCCTTCAGAGATGAAGGCGAAACAAATATAAATTCTCAGTGTTTCACAAAGAATCTCAAGAAGTCAATGAGACACAGAAGACCCAGAATTCCGAATACGTCATCATCTACAAGTGACGTCACCTGCATAAGTGACGTAACACGAGATGATCAATTCTTTGCTGAAGGCGACTCCAATGGCGACGTTACAGTCTGGTCCTTGGTCACTTCCTCAGTTAACAATGTGTTTTCGTATTCAGTTGACAACGGAAAAACTTCAGGTAAACTTGGAGAATAAGGATATATTCATTTAGAAACATATGAAACGATTTTCTAATACGATATACGTTGAAAGACAATTGAAAAAGGCAATTAAATGCAAAAGCGCTCAATGTCCTCCTCTATCTTTTGTCCTCCAGAATTTGTAAATTGTAGGATTTGGGTTCTGTTTTACTGATATCGTTCTATTTACTTCATTTCACTTTTGTATTCATTAATATTCTAATTGTAATTGTAAATAAATTGTAATTAACTACTATATTTATTACAGGGACTGGTAAATCATCATCGAGCTCTGATAAGACAATCGGCGCCGAAAAAGACAAATTTGCCATTGGAAAATCGTTGTCAGGTTCCTCTGATAAATTCGTGACCAGCCTGAGTAGCTCACATGGTGGTGGTGATTCTTGTGTAACTTGCGTCACGGTGTCACCTGATGTCACATTTGTTACGGCTGGTTTCCTGAACGGTGACATCATCAGTTGGAAGATAACGGACTCATCGCGGATAAGCATATTCAGAGTAAGATAAAATTAAAATTCATTTATCGTTGCTATTGTTTTTGCATTCAGAGATTTATTTGTAAACATTTCGAATAATTTATAAAAATATGCGACGTTTTTAGAATTCAATTTAGATTCAATAAAAAGAGTGCGCGTAAGGTTCACACGCGATTGAAGTAAAACTTATTTGCTACTGTACAAGATGGTATTTAAGTAAAAATAAATACATCATATAACAATTTTGAATAGTGTTTATTAGTAATATGGTAACACTCGTGATGCACACATTTATTAGTGTCAACCATTATAAACATTTATATAATGATAAATTATAAATCATATATTTATAATTGCATTAAAAATATGTATAATATTTAAAAATAATAATGTAATTAAAGTCATACTTCAAATATGACATGATCGGTATGCCATTGTATTAGCATTAAGAAATGAACCTTCAGTAGAGAAATGAAGTGATTGCAGATTAATAAATTTTATAATATTTGTTCACACAGTGGATTATGTTAAACAACGCCGAAACAAATACTTTTCGCAACTTCACTCATCATGTAATTGTGTTTGAAGAACTTCATGTAATTAAAATTAACATACATTCATTGATTGCTTGTATTTTTTTTTACTTTTTCGCTGGCGATATAATCTTATTCTTTGAACAGCTGTAACATATAACTAGTTAAAAAAATATTTTCCATTTTAATAACTTCAAAGAAATATAGAAACTACGAATAATATAGAAATAATTTCTAATCAATAAACTTACGTTTAGTACACGGCACAAATGATTAATTTGTTTCATTATTTTCAAAGAACAGGGCAAAATATTCTTCTGATTCAGGCATTTTTTATTAAATCAAGATTTGTACTACGATGTAACTTTAAAATGTTTATTTATCTATGCCGATTTCCTTTTTGATATCGGTACGCATACAACGTTGATGCCGGTATGCTTACAACCACAGATCTCTATTCACAAACACGACGGCAAATCACATTCGACCCGTATTGAAATGATTTCATCGTGAGCGAATGACGAACAGTTCGGGCGTAACGAACTTCCGTTGCATTTGTACGAATTTACATCCTAGTCCCGCCTAAAGAAGTTTTACTTCAAAAATCTTTTAAATAATGAAGAATGAACAAATATCTCAATATATTTATATTATATATTAACTAATATGCTTAATTTGCGAAAATTAGAAATTGTGAAAGTTTGAATCAAAAATTGCAGTCAATTTTTTCTACTTTTTTCATTAGTAATAGAATCACATTGCGGAACAAGTAAAAATATGGTATAATAAAACACGAAAATTTTATACAGTTTTAAAACGAACTATTATTTTCCAGGGTCATAAGGCACCAATATCCTGCGTCAGAGTACTCTGGGACAACAAAAAGATAATTTCTGGCGGCGGCAAAGGTGAAGAATTGGTAATTTGTGGTGGGTGGATTCAGCGACTCCTATCAGAGTTACAATGCACCATCTGAACTTGTAGATGTCACCAAAAATATGAGATACATTGTAAGTATTGATAGTTCAATGTTTCAACTTTTCTCATGATACTATCTTGGGTAGGAAGGCCATCATCTTTTCGAGTTTTCCTTAGAATAAATTTTCCAAAAGTTAACTTTCTTGCAGTAAACGCAAATATTTCCAATTTAAATTTCAAGAAAAAATACTATAAATTAGTTTGAAACCGGATAAATAAACCCAACCAGTTTACTAGCTCTGTCCAACACCTATTATCAAATTTTTCATCCAAATCTACAAGGTATTTTACCAAAATCAAAGATGATATTGTAGAATGATCTACTGTAAGAAGACATTCCTACTTAATTAATATGTGATATTTTTACTAGATGTGCACGAACTTCGACTGCAGTTTGACCATACTGTCCCTAAATGCTTCCGAAGGAGATTCGAATCATTCCAATTCCGGAAAATCGAATGATGTCAAATACTGCGTTACCCACAGTGACGTCATTGAGTGCTTTTCACCAAGTCATTGTGGACGTTACGTGGTGACAGGATCTCGCGATGCCTCGCTGAAGGTCTGGCAGACTGATGGAGGAAAACTTGCTCAGGTATTACAAAAAAAATAGAAGATTCACTGGTCAAGTAAAAATTCCAATATATACAGGGTTTCTCAGGACTCGAAGTCAAACCGAAACAGGGTGATAGTATTAATAGTACTGGAATTTTAGAAACCCATAAATTGTCGTATTCTTTTGTAAAAAAAAATCCTAAAATTTTGCTTTTTATTCTAGGTCCTAGTCGGCCACACAGACGGCGTCACATGTCTCTCCTATACCATAACTCCAGATACGACTTCATCTACCAATTCAACCTCAGTAGCCTCAAAACCTTTAACTACAAACCTAAAATCCAAATATAATCGGTTAATAACCGGGTCCTTAGACTGCAATCTTATTTTATGGGATGTCGAAACTGGAAGTGAATTATTTCTGCTCGGCGGTCATCTTGCTCCAGTTAGACGAGTTGATGTCAGCGGAGACGGAAGCACTTGTGTTAGCGGTAAGGATAAAAATATAATATTAGTCGTACATTGAATATATTTTGGTTATAAATTACAAAATCTATGTTTATCATTTCTAGCTTCTGATGATGGTACCATAATTGTTTGGGAACTGAAGCGCGGTTTGGCTTTGACCTCTTTACACCTCCATTGCACAAGCATTTTAAACATGTGCGTCGCAAACGACTGCAATAGAATTATTGCCAGGCTTTCTTTAGGTGAGTCTAAAATAATAATGAAGATCAGTATTATAGTTAAACTTTGAAAAACAAGAAATTATTCGTTTGCATGGTTTCTATATCCATGAATTTTTAAAATAAAATTATGTATTTTTTCCACACCAGATAACAGCATATCATCGTCATATGAACAAAGTGCAGGAATTGAATTCTCGACACCAGCAGCAGGTAGAATATCAGTTATCTGTTTGCATAACACGCCTGCAGTATTCAGGAAGATAGAGGAAAACATTTTCCTACTTGGAGCAGGTGCAGGATCAGACGACGGCGGAGGTGCCAGCAATGCCGAAAGCGAAGATTCTGTTTCTGGTGAATTTATGAATTAGAATATATTTAATATAGTCAAAAGTAATTAATACTTTTTAACTCTTCGAGAATTTATCTTTTTGACGAAAATATTTTCGAATATAATACCGATCCCAGTAAACACCGAGCGGCGTTAGCAATCTAAATTCCACATAGATTCCACATGGGTGTCACACGCTTGTGGTTTTCAGATTGCTACCGCCGCTCAAATTACACGGTGTTTACTGTGATGTTTAAAAAGCTTCTTTTTAATTTGGTAATTCAGTATAAACAGTGTCAAAACATATTTTTAAAATATGACTACATAAAAATACATTAAAGAAATGATTATTTATCACTATTTTTTTATTATTTGTAGACAAATTGACCGGTCCTGGACTTACCTTCAACAAATTAAAGTCCTATGGAGCAGGACTAGGCATTCACCACGGCGGAAGCGGCACTGGACTGAGTAAGCGGAAACCAGCGCCTCCACTACGAAAATTGTTAAAGAAAGAAGTATCACTGGATACTTATTCCTGGCAGAAAAAGTATGGTCATCTTACTGCTAGCAGCACCATCATGGCACAGGTTAATATCAAAACTAAATGATATGTATACGAAACATATTCTATTATGAATAGTTCTACACAAGAAATTTTATTGCTTTATTTTAATATTAGCCAAAATTCAAAATTCAAAGTTAGACATTTTTTTAAGTTTTATCTGTTTTTCCCAGTTTTTTCCAAGTACCAGGACCATTTTATATATGATTAATTTTCTATTTATAGGTGGACGAGAAGTTAAAAAGACGTTTCTCAGTATCTGCATCTATGGAAGAAATATCAAAATTGGCCGAAAACAATTCCGGTTCGAATTTGGATCATGAGGGCGGAAATGGCAAGGGAAAAGGGTAATAAAATTTGTCAAATTGTTAGATATTTCTGATTGATTATCATTAATCAATATATATTCTTTTTTGCATAGAAGTAAAAAGAAAGACGCTCTGCGTAAGTCTCAGCAACATTTTGATCAACTGGAACAACTCTGGAGCAAAGTACCCACTGCACCGTCCAGTGGCAGCAGGTGGAACCGAAATTATGTGAGTTGACCTTATAATTTAATTACTATATCCAAATTTAATTTAAAATGTATTGTTTTCTTGATTAAAATGTTTTTTTTTTCACATTTTAGTTAACGAAACAGAGCTCTTTGGCAGAAGACCGAATAGACTCATCAGATGAGGAAACAGATGGATAAATTTTAATATTAGGATATAAACCAAAATATTACATACCAGTCCATGCGTAAGTAATTTATAAGTAATAAGGTAAGTGTTAACATGTGGATAAGTGCATTTTTTTAAAACAGTTTTAAGATAGTTACTTTTTTAGAAATAAAATGACTTGATACAGACACACACGACGTATTATAATTTATAAATTATATATGATTTCTAAACTTCTAATCTAAATGTTTCTGCTTTTTTTCGAAAGGTTTTAAAAAAAAATTAACTATTATATTCAACGTTTTTGGGATATGGTAAATGCCCTTCTTCTGAAACTTAATGACTAACTATTTTCCAATTCAAAGAATTAACAAACTTTGAAACGAAACAAAAACTAAAAGTTATGTTTGAAAATACGTAGATAAAATACACCTTCACTCTTTCGAGTATAGTTTAACATTTTTTAAACTTACAAATATAAAATATATCAATGTTTTATAATTTTGTACCTATTGAATCATAATATTTATACCATAAATAAAAATGAATTGAGCGAAAACAGTTTTTACTAAAAATCTATAAAATATGAAAATATTTTCATCAAAACATAATAAATGTAATTTTACTTGAGCATTTAAACGCCCATTTTATACAAATGTGAAGCATTTTTAATGGATTTGTATTTTTAAACTTTCTTACTATAGAAGGAAATAAGGAAATACAATTTATAACATATGCACTTTCCACATGTTACATATATGCCGATAATATATTAATGTATAAGTATATAAAAATTAAGATATGATAATATAATGCCCCTAACTCTCGACAATCTATTTGCACACAATATATATTTATTACACTTAAGTATAAAGCAATTAAATGTTTCCTTATTGTGTACTTCTCGATCTACGAAAACATTAATGCTTGTGTTATATAATATATATATGTATATATATATATATATATATATATATATATATATATATATATATTATAGTACGTCTGTTCCTATCCCAAACCTCAAGAAAAATATTTATATAGACCCTATACATATCAAAAATATATTTAACTAAATTAAATTATATTATATTAAAATATATTAAATATTTATATATTATTATTTAAGCCGATTTATCATATGTATAGAATTATGCCAGTTATTGTCCAGATTGGACTAATTTAATAAATATTTAAGTCATAAAAGTTAAACGTTGTTATGACAGTTTCAAATTTATACTCTTTATCATTTGATTCTGTATAATTCTAGAAAATGTAAGCCAAATGTTTTCTTTGTGATATATTTTATATTGTTTGTTTGATTTTAATATACATATATTAAACGGCAGTTAGAAAATGATATTATATGTGTCAAATTTCCAAATATTATAGTACTTACACCGTGCATGTAAAGGATGACCCAGAACTCAACATCAAGCTGAAACAGGGTCATAGTATTGTCTGTAACTGTCCTGAAAAAAAAATTTCAGGACATTTAGAGTCAATACTATCACCCCGTTTCGACTTGATGTTAATTTCTGTGTCATGCTATATACATGCATTTGTACATTAGATATAAACACTCCTAATTCTAAAAAAATGAACCATGCTCTGACTATCATTAGTATTAATAAGATATATATGTGTATATAAACCATAATAATGATTGCACATATATATGTAAATGTAAGTAGTGAGCAATAAAAATGTATGTTAATAAAATGAAACAATCTACTTAATCTAATAATCTTCTAAATGCAGGAATAAGAACATTAGAATCATATTTGCTGAATGAAAATGTCTCAAGTACTCTAATTTTTGTTTCTTCTAGTATTTTTGGATATTTACAAAATTTGGTAAGTACTTTTAACAGTTGGTTACTAGTATTATATAGACATTCTTTAGGATAAATTTCAGGATAGACCAAACTATTTGGTGCAATTGGTAGGCACCCACAATATGTTCCCTCTATCCTAAAAATATAATAATTGTTAAATTTATGTTTTCAATATTTGAATTATAGAGAAAAAATTGAAGATTTTAATTTACATTGCTACTCCAAAGAATTCATGTTTTGCTGTAGATACTATTATATCAGCATTTAATAAAACTTCATAATACTTTTCTTTACTTTCTGCATAACCAAAATTTATTATATTATCTACTAATATCTCTTTGGCTTTATTAAATATTTCAGGTACATCCGTTGTATGCTCTCCAAGCACCGATAATCTGAACTGTATATTATTTTCCTTCATTTTCATCATAGTTTCTAAAAACAATTCTGGATTTTTATCATGCTCCCATCTATGAGGCCAAACTATATGAATTGGTAAGTTTTGCTCTTTTGAAACTCTTAATTTTGGAATTGAATCAAAGACTACAGGAAATATAACACAGAACACTTAGGAATAATTTGTTCTTCTAGTCCTTGAAACTTAATTCCAGGTTGCATCTTTAAATGTTTTTGAATGTTTGATAAAAATGAGTTTTTGTTGTATTCAGAGTTGAAAATGACCTTATCGGCAGTCAAACTAAAATCAATAGAATAAAAGATATAAAAATAGGTGGAAATTACATATGTTTAATTAATATATACAAGGTCATATATATATATATATATATATATATATATATATATATATATAATATTTTTACCAAGATATTATTTGATTATATCCATATTGAAAATCCCGTTCTTTTTATACTCGACTGGATAAATAAGTTGATTTTCATGAAAATAAATATTTTTTTTACATGTGTGTAAATGGGGGCATAAACCTATGAGCTCCGTAAGATTTAAAACAGAACTGCACAATAAAGTTTTGTAAGAAACATTTTTGGAATTATTTGCGAAAAATATAAAGCACTCGTTCTTGCTCTCCAATGCCATTTTTTAGCCGGCAAAGTTAATAACAAGTAATCAGTTTCATTAAAATCTGTAACAAACTTTAGATTAGAACTTTAGAAACGATTCAGTTTCGGCTTTTATAAAACCTTTCAAAAGTGCATCAAGTAACTGTTTATGAGATCCTCCATAAAATGGTTCTATAATGAGATATTTTTGACTTGACATTTGGTTTGTTGAAACTTATCATTAATTAAATCATAATTAACTTTATTTATTTAAATCATAACAAATAAAATCATAATTTTAATATTGTCTAGGATTATTAATTGTTGTGGATAAAAAAAGAAACAATTTTATAGGTTATGTACACCAACTGTCAAACGTGACAACTTCTTTGAGGTTATGTTATCTTCATTAATAAAGTCGTAAAGTGATGTAATTGTATTTAGTTATTTATTAATTATTATCAATAAGTAAAAGTCATCTGCCAAAGAAATCATTGATTTAGCAATAATACAAGTAAGTGTTTTTATATAATATAGATACATCATTAATTATAAGGGCAGAAGTATAACTAAATCTTATTGCAGTGTGGATTTTATTTAAAAAATCTGTTATATTAAAATATAACCAGTTTTCATTATGATTTAACACTTTAACGACTTAAAAGTACTAAGAAGTTCTATTAAAATATTAGTTACACATAAATAACCCAATGCAATTTTAACTACAAAATAGTAAAGGCTTCATAAACATGCTTCATTCATTCGCTGCAACTATTTACGAATTACAAGTTTGACTCAATTCAATTTATAGAATTTTATTGGATTTGCTTTTTCTTTAATATCACTTTCTTCTTTTATGCCAAATATAAAAGCATTTAAAAAACAGTAGTTATTCTAGTAGTTTACTTCTATCTTACTATAAACGATAAGTAAAATAATATACTAAACTTATCTGAAAAAAGGCCTATAAATCTTCTTCATATATTAAGATATGACATATCAGCATGATGTTAATGTGATAAATGTATCTCTTTGAAACTTATTTTTTCACTAATTCAAAAAAAGTGACTTAATTCCTATTTTTGTGCCTAAAAATGTCTTTATTTGTAGATTTATTAATTATATAAGAAATAGCAAAACAAAATAACAAAAGTATATTAGATGTCCTCAAAATTTGTCTAAAATTGTATTAAATTGAACTATTAAATGATATCATAAAGAACTTTGACTTGAGCCCCCTTTTTAGTGATTGGTGTTTTTGAGAATGTAAACTAGCAAGATAGAATAAATTGTCATTCTGGAATCGCTTAAAATTCCATATAAATATTTGACTGAACTTAAAAGAAATATTGAATTTACACAAGTTGAAAAAAAAAAGCTCTTAGAAGGGTCAGTAACATTTAATTAGAAAAATCTTACTGAAGGTTTAAGTAAGGCTTATAAGAATTAGAACCTCCTTAGGAATATTGATAGTCCTATGAAGTGAATCATTATCTTTAAAAATTAAAGGAGCTTTTAAAAACGGTCAAGAATAAAATTACAAAGTTTTTCAACCATTTCTTAAGACTTGAGCTAATTAATTAAATTGTTAATTTATTTTGTCACCTAGGAACATATTCCTTATAATCCCATAAAAATTATCATTTTGTATTAATGATTTCTATGTACAAGTCTTATTTTTTTAAAAGAGTATTTACTTTTACTGTATTTGCAAAAAATCAGTACTTAAATCTTTACTTTTAAATGTTTCTAAGTTTTTGATTCATTTTTTTTTAAATATAAAATAGTTTTTAAATTAGTAGCTATATTAATTACTAATAAGTATTTATGTATGTCTAATTGAAAATCTACTAAAACTATTTTACTTGATATAATAATTCTTATAATAAAAATATATAAAACAAAATACATATAATAAAATGTTTAAAATTTTATAAAATTTAATATCCCACTATGTTCATTTATCTATTATCCATTTCAGGATGTCATTCCCCAATAAAGAAGATAGAAAAAAATGTTGGGATTCTAGAGACCAGTATTGGGAGTGTCTCGATACAAATGAGAATAAATCCAAGCAAAACACTGAAGAAGTGCAAGCTTGTAAAGCATTTAGAAAACTGTTTGAAAGTAATTGTCCCGCACAGTGGGTTACACATTTTGATAGAAAACGATCGTACTTGCAATTTAAGCAAAGGATAGAAAAAGAAGGATATGAACCTTTAGATAATAAGTAACATATATATTTATATCAGTAGTTAAGTAAAATGTATTTGAAATAATTTCTTATTACACAAAGTTGCAAAAGTGAATGTGTATCCATTCAAACTATTTTTTTTTTGTAAATTTTTTGACAACACAGAGAACATTCTTTGCTTGATTCCAGAACGTTTTAAGACTTTTCATGCTTAAAACTATAAACTCAATTAAATTATTTGTATCAATATATAATATTCTTTATCAAAGCACTATCCAATGTAATAAATCACAAACTATTACAATTATGTGAATTATATTTGCTATTCTTACAAGTTACATTATATATTTTTCATTATTCTTCTGATGTCATACTTTCAGAAGATAATTTAGTTGTGCATTCAATAATTTTTCTTGTAGGCTCATTAAGATCATCAACTTGAATACTAACTATATGTCTTCCAGGAACCATAATAAGTCCTAAAACTCTTTCTTCACTTGGATCAGAGTGTTCACTGAGATATTCTGAACACGATGCTAGAATATATTGCCATCACGATCTGTACATGCAAAAGTACCATAAAGCACTCGACCATCAGTCATTTTAATACGAAAACTTTTGTTCAGCCACTGCCGAGTTGAACTCGGCCTTTTGAATCTTTATTTCCCTAAGAAAAAAAATTAAATTAAACTATGGTATGTTTATAATGCATGAATTTTATTACATAGATATATTTTTAAAGCATTTTCATAGCATTAGAAATTTTTAATTGGAATTATTGCACATATTAAAAAAGAATTGAGTATTTTCTAAAAATGTTTTATGATACAACATTTGTAATGGGTTCATAGATTAAATTGATAGATTAGTTTATGGATGTCTAATATAAAGTGTTGTAAAACGCAAGTAGGTATTTTATTGAGCAAAGACCATGTATGTACAAGAGATAGGATTCATTTATTCTGAGAGTAAATAACCATGATAAGCAATAGGTAAAATAACAGAGTGAGCTTATGTGAGAATAGGCATATAAATCTTTTTATGTCTATTAAAAGTTTTATGTTAGGATGTTGATTAGACTTAATTGTACATCTTTGAAACTATTATTAGACATAAATATCACATCTATTATTATGTATTTGAATAATGAATTGTTATACAACCTACCATGAAGTAAGAACTTATAATCTTATATAATTGATTCATATCTCCTTTATGAGATAAAGAAAAATTTTTGATAGAGAGTTAAAATTTATGGAAAACAACAAAATAATGGTACATATTTTATATCTTCATTATTCAAATTTTAAATTATAACCTCAAATAAAAATCAATTACTTTTTCATTGTCTGCTAATGCTATATTGTCATTCATGATATATTATTATCTAACTTTTAATTTCAATTCCTTAATGTTTCATGTGCCTTTAGTCCTTTGTTTCTTCAGCAAAAACTTTTTCTTGTGAAATCCTAAAATGTATTTTGTGTGTTTTGCTACAGTTGTCGCAAAATAATATTAACTAAATTTATTAAAAATACAATGAAACCTAGACAATGTAATAAATATGTCTATGAATATAAATATGGCTATGAAATATTCATTTAAATGCGAATTGTTTCACATTTGACGTACAGATCTTAAATTGTCATTTTAATATTTATATTTTATAGTGGGGGTGCACACAAAATTCTTTCAACTGCAACTTCACTTCTTACATTTTCAAACAACTGTCAAATTATTTGAAAATTGGATTAATTTAAATAATTGA